CTCGTCCAAAGTGAAGCCCGAGGAGGGTCGTGATGACTCGCTACTCCAGCAGAGGTTGGAAGAAGCGACAAGAAGGATCTCAGAGCTCGAGGCCGAGCTGAGAAAGCAGACTGTCAAAGATCCCCCAGCCCCTCAAGCAGACGTAGAGACCATCCCGTCAAGCATCTCCAGCCCTACGACTCCGCCGTCAAACAAGACCGACATCGAGATCAAATCTCAAATCAACCATCCCACGGCTGATCCACCAGCTAGTGCCCAGCAGACGACCAGCTGGACTATCCCCGACGACATCAGCTCTGACCTCAAGAAGCTTTTTCAGACTTCCCTAGACTCCGAGGATTACAAAACGATTCTCAACAACCTCCGCATGGCTCTCGGCGTCGACGCGTCGGCCCTCATGCCGCACGCAGGCCCTGACAAGCTCTCGTACGACGACTACGAGGTCAGAGTGGCAAGAGAGTGGGAGCTCGAGCGCAAGACCAGCAGCCTCGGCGACCTCAACATCCTCCGAGTCATGGCGGAGTGCATCCCCGGCGGGAGCGCGGCGAGTCCTCTTGCGGGGCTACAGGGGATGACGGAGAGCGCTCTATCGGCTCTATGGCAGACGGCGATAGCGAGGAGGCTCGAGGAGGCGCTGAGGAGGCCGGCGGAGGCAGGAGGGCGGGCGGGAGGAGACGGTGCGACGTCGCACAACAGCAAGTTTGCGGTGAATGAGTCGGACGGTACAGGCAGCGGGGAGGTACGCGAGGCCGTGTACGGGAAGATCGAGGAGTACTACGGTGGGCTGATGGAGCGGATCGGGCTACCTCAGACGGAGCTGATGAAGGCGATAGAGGAGGAGCACTGCAAGGGCAAGGACGCGGAGGAAGCGTTCACGACGAGCAACTACGGGATCACGACGACAGCCAAGGAGGAGTGGCTCAACGTGACAGACCCGGAGAGGAGGCGGAGGCTGTCGGACGGGACGCGGGTGATCCGAGGGATGGAGGAGCTGAAGGGGCTGGACACGGCGATCAAGGCAGGGCTACAGGAGGCGGAGCTGATCGCGCTGCAGCTCTACACAGGTAAGTGAGAGAGATAGCGAGAGAGAGGGAGAAGGAGCATGGGGGAGGAGAGAGGAGCAAGAGAGCGTGAGATAGCTGACAAGAGGCTTGCTATGACAGGGCCGATGTACTTCAAGTACAACTCTGTTCTTCGAGCTCCCAAAGAGCTCCTCCAAGACTCCAACAAGGTCCCCAACAAGTACACGACGACCATCCACTGCATCGTCAGCGGCATCGTGAAGCTGTCTCGTCACACGCCTCTGCCGGAGGGGCTGCGGGTGTGGAGGGGGCTGAAGGGGATGAGGCTGCCGGAGAGCTTCCTCAACGAGGACAAGCTCGGGGTGTCCGGAGG